ACGGCTTATTTTTTTGGTGTTACATTTCCATTTTTGGAGTTAGAGAAGGATCTACAAGGACAATGAAAAGTTGTGGGACTAGGTGTCTTGCACTATAGTATTAATGACACTATTTTTAGTGTCACAACACTAAAATCACATGACCCAAACGGTTAACAATAACATTCCTTCTGCAATAGCTAAACTCACCAGGATAACTATAAAGAAAATGTAAAATTAAATGTAAAATATACTGTATGTTTGCTATTTTTAATTTAAAATATGTTTTTTATTATATTTAGCACAACAATTATAATTAATAAATTTTTGTTGAATGGTAAATAAAGAAAACCTTGGCGTTTAACCAAGTAATAAATCTAGGGTCTTCTGAAGCAATAATTCATGACGCGGGGCATAATTCGTGACACAAGACATATAGTTTGTGACGCGAAGCATAGTTTGTTAGTTCTTATTATAATAATATTGTAATCGGCAAGAATTAAGTATAATTACAGAAATCTATTTAAACATAACATTCAACTTATTGCATTGCATATTGTCTACCATCTACAATTTTTATTTCCTTCTACATCCTCCTTCACCTTCTGATCGTGTACATATACAGTATGTGAGAAAATAGTTTCATTATTCTCATAAATAATATTTAATGGCACATTCTTCTGACCCCAAACATTCATTTAAAATTTTCTTTCTTTAAAAACACATATATATCACCTATCAACACTTGTTAAATACTTGAACAAATACAGTTTCATGATAAACTAGAACAAATTTCATCCATCCTCTCCATCATCTTCTATTTTTTTGTAATAGTAATTTCATAATCATGTTGACACAGATTGCATTTATAATTTGATTCTAATTTAAAATTAAAAAAATAAAACTATTAGATTAAGAAGCTAGAAGTTGTCAGGTATATTTGAAATATTTGAACTTGAATTTGGTTCATTTTTATAATTATGTATGTATATATAGTGGGACGATTTGGTAGACAATGTAAAGAGCATATACCAAAAATAAATAAAAAATTTTTTTTCCAAGGAAAATTAGTTTTTTATGAAATACAAAGTATTGCTAAGGATTATCATCTGTAAAAAAAAATTATTTACTAAAAAAAAAATGATATATTTACTTATTACTATATGGTGAATTAATCTACTTTTTGCATCGTACTATGTTAAAAAAAAATTAATGCCTTGGAAGGACAACAAAAAAAAAAAATTCGGATATATAATAATAAAAAGGTTTTTTACTTTTCCTTCTTTAAAACTTTCGTTTCTTTATTAAAAATTACAAAAAATAAATAAATTAAAAAAAAAGTATCGCAATATATTTTAATTTATTTTTTTATCCCAAAATTTCTCATAATTAATTAATTCTTTTTAAAAATGGCAGAAAATAATCATAATAATGACCTTATAGAAATAGTGACAGAGAAACCAAATAAAGTTTCTACTAAAAATCCAGCTACAAATAATATAAATGATGATGTCATAATCAACACACATAACGGATGTCCCATTACTCAAATAAGGTACAGCCCTAATTATAAATTTTTTGTAACTTTAAAACAAGATGGATCCATTTCAGGATGGACAGTTGATCATGAAAAAGGAAATATCCAACAAGATAATCAAGATAATTATTTTAAATATTCTGATTGGACGGGTGATTTGAATTATACAAATTATATAGATATAAAAGATGTTTCAGATAATAAATATATACTTATAATGAAATCATATACATATAGTAAGTAAACATAAATGTATTATATTATTTATAAGTAAATAATAAATTCACATCAGTTAATTTTCTAGAATTGCTTGACTTTTCAAAAAAAAAATATTGTGATGTTACAATTAATGATGAGAGGTGTCGATTTCAAAATGGGGGCTTTGTTACAAATAATGATTTAATAATGTTAAATAATTATGGCTATTTATACAAATTTTCATATATAAGCGATGACAATAACAAAAATATTAAACTATTTTGCAAATCAACACACTACATTTACAATTATTATAATGAATGGCCTATTGATTTTTTTGTAAATTCTGATTATCTTCTATTAAATTGCTATTCATCATCATTATCACTATGGAATTCAACAACTATGTCATATGTGGATAATTGTTATTTAAAATATAAACATGGTAAACGTGGTTATACTAGAATAATATTTAACCATAACAAATCAATAATGGCATTTTATAATGTAAGCAATTCAGAAATAATAGTTCATTCATTAAAGGATAATATTACTATTTCTTCATGCAAGTATCTGTAATAGGAATTTATCTTCTTTCTTTTTTCTTTTATATCAATACATTAGCTAACTATGCTTATTTATTTTTC